AGATTATCCGTCTCATGTACTATTCTGAGAACATAGTGATAGTTTCAGTTTCAATATTTTGACTTGGAACTATCTATGATATGATTCCAGTCAAACTAGTATGTCGATGTATGAGAAGCGATGGTAGAAAGCTTGTTTTTTTCACAGTCTTATCAACAGTCTGTCATTCTCTCCAGGTGCAATCACATTTTATCTTTCCTTTATCTGAGTCTGCTCCATTTGCTCAGCTTTATGGTCCACTTTATATCCTCTATCTGCTCTAAAAATACCTGTGTTATGGCACTGCTCCAAGTGTGTTTTTTTCTGTGTATGTGTGTGTCACTAGGACCCTGATCCACGGTGATAAGAAAGCTGGCTTCACAGTGTTCTGGGCTGATGATGGGCTGGACACCGGACCGATCCTGCTGCAGAGGGAGTGTGCTGTCGAGCCGAACGACACCGTGGACACGCTGTACAACCGCTTCCTCTTCCCAGAGGGCATCAAGGCTATGGTAACCACCTGGAACTTCATATTTTTGATTTGATCACATAAGGAGTGTAATCAGGAGTGTATTATCAGCATGCATTTTTATAGAACCTTTTTCAAATAGAGTAATCAATCAAGTAGTGAAGACCTATTGAAACATATCCTCATAATGCCCAGTTCCCACTCAGCCTACTCTATTTTTTGAGATTGTCAACAACATGTTAACATAAACTTCACAGACTGAGGTGTCTCACACACACGCTGTTTCCTTGGTGCAGGTGGAGTCGGTGCAGCTTATCGCTGATGGAAAGGCCCCTCGAGTTCCCCAGTCAGAGGAAGGAGCAAGCTATGAGGGCATTCAGAAGAAATCCAACGCCAAGGTGATACATATATGCACATCTTTAAGTTGAGCAGTTATTTTATGTACTTGCAAATGTTGAATACGATTTGATGGATGGATGTTAAGGGGTTAAGTATGTAACTATGGTTTTATGAATTCTGGATGACCATCAGATGTGTTATGTAGGCGTTAACATGGCTGAAACGCATCCGGT